TATCTCATCATTTGGTTTATTTATAGTGAATGTAAAATTTTATTTTAAAGAGATAAAGTACAACTTTACAAGAACATATGTAAAGCTTGTCACTAACTTGCTAAGTGTTTAACATCGAAGCAAAGATATTCGAGAGAGTACTATTTCATATTAGATTGAGTTATTAACAAAACTGTTGAATCACAAATTGATCAAATAAAATCATGATAATCATTGATATAAAGGGAGCTATAAGTTGTTCGATAATTTTTGACGACATAAAGGACTTTCTCTATCTGATACATACATCATTAGATAGAGGAGTCTTTGTCTACAAGCCTACATATATCTCGTTCTGTAGTAAAAATCTTATAGTCGCCTTTGATTCAGTTTATATATCTAGTGAAAGAAAATAATAAGAGAACAACGGATAAATATTTGCAACAGTCTTCTGAGATAATATTTCATATGACAAAGATAAATCTTACAACTCAATCTTGATTTCGATATAAAATTTTCGTTAAAAAATGCAGCTTTAAAGAATAACTTCTAGAATATGCAACTTCGAATCCCTTTACTAACGAGGAAACCTTCCTAACTTGTAAATCGTTGTTTGAGTTTGGACTCTATACATAAGGTAGACTTCAATGAATTATTAAAAAGCACAAAAGGATAAGGATCCTCTAGATCTTCCCTAGAAACTTATAGCCGTTTTACTGATACTTTAGCCTATGGATATACCTACTTGTAACTAGAATATCCCGAAAATTTCAGCTGAAAAGAACATTCACTTCACGGGATATTGTGTTCCCAAAAATCACTTATATTTCACGGAATATTTGAGAATCTCATGTTTTTTGGGAATTCAAAATCTGATGAAGGGAACATTCATTTAGGTTGAAATTTTCAAAGCATTTTAGTTACAAGCTGGCCAATCTATGAGTGAAATTTCACTAAAATGACTATAAGTTCTTAGGAAAGGTTTAGAGATTAGAGGCCATCTGGTTGGTCCTGGATTCGAAAACTTTTAGATTCAACGGGGCCTAACTGAAGCATAGAGTCTGAATTCAAAAGCAATTTTCAAATTGGCATGGTTCTCTCGAAAGTAATCTCTTTCTCGAAATAAATCTTGATAAATAAAGCAAAAACAAAAAATTTACGTTGAAGGTTTTTGTAAAATAATCTGTTGTTGTGAATATTCAATTCGTTCAGCAATTAATCGAATAACTTCTTTAACTGTTGTTTTCATTGGAAGATATAATTTAAATAGACATTCATTTCGTAAACTATCACGATTACAAACATCAAATTCTTGACGATTTTCAATATTTCTATAAAAATTAAATTATGGAAAAAAAAATTCATTTTGTTTTTTGTTGTTTTTTTTTTATCTCATTTACCGAAAATAATCTTCAACTGTTGTTAATGGATAATCAT